AATCATTTTGTGAGTTAAGTAATTCTCTAACACTATTGCTATTCTATAATGTGAGTATGCATTATGAGAGATTTCTTATTGCTCTCACCCTGTTATTACTTATGTTAACTACTTTTTGACATTATTGAAGCTTGTAGCATTCCTCTCAGAGCAATACTGAAGTAGACTGTAATTGTTTATTGGAAAGATACACAATGTACGCACATCACTAGGTTACAACAGTGAACGCAGAAAGCGAGACTAAGCCTCCCCTCTTATTACAACTGCATTTAATGTGACTAAGTTTTGATCAATGGATCTTCCTTAGCATTATTACAGGAACCAAACAGTGAATAGCTTTTGTTTCTAGGTTAAAGCTGGAGAATCTTATATTCTTATATGTTGCTATGTTACGTTTTGAAGTCAAAGTCAGTTTGCTGTGTGTTAGCAATGCTCTCCTGCTTTGTAGTCTGAAAAAAGCTGTGTATACTCCCCAAAAAATTGATGCATGTGCATCCTAGCAAGGTGCCAAGAGTTTATAAAAGTGCAGAGTGAGACTTACCCACTCCATTCTTTCATTGTGTGAAAATTAGTTACAGCTAGTATGACCTCATTAGCAGCAGTATCACATGGATACGTGTCCACACTGTGCAGTACCTGTTAACTCTGATCACTCACTTGAGTCTAAACAAGCAATTATCAGAATAAAGTCCATTATTTATTCCCTTATAACTGAACATATTTTTCCCTAATGTAACTCTAGTAGTATAATAATTACTGCTGTCTTGGTTTAAACTTTGTGTATCAGAAAAAATGAAGTGATAAATATATCCTTTATATCCCTGTATATCAATCAAGGTTAGTTGCACAACTGCATTTCAATTTTCAGTCCAATCAAATCCAATCCAATTGTTTGTAGTTTAGCTGAACTTTTTCATTGCTGCCCCTCAGTCCAAACTGAGCTGGTACAATATGTTAGATGCACCTTTTAATGTTCACTATGTATCAGAAAATATCTTATCATTTAAAGTTGTCTTTAGAGACCACACTGCACCCTCTCTCTTCATACGGGGCGATTGGATTGATTCGGGTGAACCAGCTGATCTGTGAAATAACTTAAATCTCACGGCAAACACTGAGTAGACTCCAATAGTCTTTGTGCGCGGGCCGCGATCAACAAAACCAGATAAGGGGCTGAGCTGGCCCACCACAATAGGCCCATGGCTTAAGGCTCTATTAGGTTTGACTGGAGGTTCTCAGTAAGAGGTGGTGATGTGTGACAGCCACCGCCACTGTGCCGCTGTCTGCTTCAAACTTACAAGTGGGGATAACCAGCTAGAACTACACTCCAGGGTGGGCTGGGGACACAGAAAGAGTAACTGGGCATAAAAGACTGGATCAGATGGTTACTCTATGACTGAGGTACTGATTAAGTCTCTATTGTGATACTAAATTTGGTCATACAGAACTGATATTGTGAGATGCTACATCGATAAACGCCCTTTTTGGTAATTACTAATAATGACATCTACCCTTTTGTCACTTGTTTATAGAAAGGAAACTTGTATTTGCAGTACATTTTACATGTCGAGGAATCCAGTGATTACAGTCCCTAGTGGTGATGAGGCAAATACAGACCACAGCAAACATGGTGAAATTTGGTGAAATTATTTTAGCAAAACCAAATCCCTAAAGCTTTGTTGCCATTTCCAGTCCACTAGAATAGAAGTGATTTGTTATACTGAGGTGGTAATAGGAAAGTGAGATGTTGTGATGAGGATAAACATGAGGTTCTAGTACAAAAGTGTGAGTAAATATGAAAATTGTACTCCTCAGGTTATGGTAGGGCATCTGAGTGAAAACAGGGGTGTGCTGCACAGGTGATGACCGAGTAACACTGTTAGATGGTTCTGCTTCTATGGCTAATTAAGTTGGAAAAGATCATTGATGGTGCCTAAAAAATGTTATAGCCTTTAAAGGTGCACTGTGTAACTTCACTTGTGGTCTCCATGGAGACCAGGGTGTCACTGGAATATTTTGCCATTTCATTGCATTGCCTGCAATGCACTTTTTTACTAGCCTGATTCATCAGCCGGTTTTACTTTGTGGAAATCGTCAGACCTCTCAGCATTAGGATTCGTTCGCTCGACGGTAGGCGGTTACTTTTTTATTTAACCAATTGCTGCTATTTGGTTGTGACGTATGTAATGCACTGCTAATGGAGCTAACTGATTAAGCTTTTCCCAAATCCCGTAGGAAGAAGGGCAAAAACGTCTTTCCCCTCGATTAAATTCACCAAACATTCTCTTTGTTCCGGCTTTAAATCCTCGATCTTGGGAATTGTTGTCAACACAGCATGTATGTCTTCGTCTACATCCATCTTGACTGCTTTGTTTACTCTTGTGTTGTACCACAAAAGGGACCCAGTCATGGCTTCACAGCTTTTGGCTGATTGGCCGGTGCAGGATCTACAACTTCCGGGGTTCTTGCAAAGTGTATTCCGATTCCTGACCTAGTCGCTGGAGAAAAATGAAATTGGGTGAAGGCACTAGGTGACACCAGCTTGACTACTTTTTTACTTTTACACAAGTGATCTCTTGGATCACTACTTTGAATTTCTAGTAATATCATTTGGAAGTAACAGTCTTACTTGAGTCCGATTTTAGATTTTTCTGGTTTCCATTAATGAGAAGCTGATTCTTATTTGATTGAAGAAATAAAGAATGTGAGTGCTGGTGAAGACCTCTCTAGTGTTTTTCAAACTTCATTAATGACAATAGCTCATAGACGAGGAAAAATGCAACTGGAGAATTGGAGGAATCAGGAGAGTTGGTTGTGGCTTTTGAGCATCTTTCTGGTAGATTGTCTAAAGGTGACACTTGAAAAGGCAATTCTGAAACAGTTTTTGTTTAGTTTTCAAAAGAGCTGCTACAGATCATGCCAAATAAGAGAGACAAAGTGTTAGGACGCAGGTGCACAAAAATCCCATCACATAGTGGAGGAGATAAGGACCACTTCATTTGCATATCAACATCTTAAAGACTGCAATATGTTTTTTCTGTGGTACAAACTGAAATTCCCCTTTACTTTTCCCCATAGACTTTCTGGAAAAAATCTAATATTAAGAGTTTAAAGGCATGCAGAGACTAAACATTAATGATGACTCATGGGACAGAGTTTATTTTTAAAAGATTTTGATTTAGCCTGTCACACTTGCAGCAACAGCAAAATCTGCTACTCTAAATTGAGAGCTATAACTTCACAATTAATAGAATATGTTAAACAAGGCTAATCTAATCTGAGCCTCTGTGCAACTGTCTGTTATGACGCTTCATTAGTCTCTATTGGACAGACAACAGAAGGACAATGACATTCATTTCATTTCAGACATCTTATCTGAAAACTACAGCCATAATTATAAGTGGAGATTAAATCAGACCCGCTGTGCTGCTCTCCAGTGCCCAAACTTCTTTTTTGTCAGAACACGGAGTCTAAAGATTAACACTAAATCAGAACCCACATCTAATTATACAAGCTAATCTTACTGGACTGTCCAAGTGGTGCTAAGCTCTGCGATGCAATGATAATAAGAGCAAAAAGTAGACTTTTACAGCTAGTTCTTGTTACAGTTTTAGAAGATTTAGTCATCCGTGCATAGATATTTATTTTTCCTTATTACAAATGGCCTTTCCTCCTGAGTTCAGCTCTTGAGACATGGATCATGGGGCGTACATCTGGCTTCCAGCAGAGAGCAATTAACACAGTGTCCATTACCTGTATTTGACTAATGAAGGCTTGGACTGTTCCATGTTCCAGTCAGAGGGGAGACACCAGGGGGAACCAGTCATGTTTTTGTGTATTTTTAGCACTGCACAAACAAATTGTCGCCAACACATTCACCAAAGCTAACAAGATCCTGTCCCACTGCAACCCACTCTCATGGAAAACTGTAACCGAAACACTGGTCCACTGACAAAAATGTATGTATTTGAAAATTTGGGGTCTTCGATTGTGCCATTGTCACACTATTTGTGCATCTGGCATTTCTATTGCCAGTTATGTGAGATGCAAGATTCTTTTTTGTGGATTTTTTTTTATGTATGTATGTAGCTTTTGCACATTTTCAAAGACTTTACATTTTCTACATGCCTACATGTTTTGGTTTTAACTAGTACCTTAAGCAACTTTTTAGGTAATCTGAACGTTTCATTATTGAATTGATTCCAGAATCTTGTCAGAATGGATGTGGGAATTCAGATGGATGCGTACTTTGTCATGTATGGGATTGATTCCATACTAACTAAATCATGACGTTATACTAGCCCTTGCCTACACTTCCATATTTTATTTAAAGTCTTTTAATCTTTAATGCTTTGAAAGTGAAATAGGGTGCATTTGGTCAAATAGAAATCCCAGTCAATGATGGAAGTGCATCTGCATAACCGCGCTGCTTGTTGCGTTTTATTCTTTCTCATATTTTTTTTAAAGCGCGTTAGTTTAAGCCCAGAGCTGTCCTTCTATAGCCACCTAAACCTCTCACGGCGTTTGTGACGTCCGTGGTGCGGCTGTGAGGATGTTGCTTGCATGTGGCTGCAGGTGTCAGTCTGACTGTAGCCGGTAGGAGGGACTTGATGCTCCAACTTCTCATTTTGTGTATACGTCTTCTCTCCAACCAGTCGTCCTGGTCCTGCGCGGAGAGACACGACGGTAGCAGCGCTAACGGAACGGCACGGCTTTCCGCACCAACATCACCATGCCTTTTACACCTCAACGCAGAGTGGATCCTTATAAATCGCTTTGGTGTTTTTGATTTAATTATTTTTTCCCCCTTTTTTCTCTCTTATTCAACGAGGCGCAAGGACACTACAGCAGCAGCATCCATCCACCGCTCTCACAGGGCATCCTCTGTACAAACGCACCATCCTCCTCCTCTTCCTCCCTCTTCCCTCCCTCCTGCACCTCTCTTTTCCCGCTCTGGACCGCAGGACGTCGGCTCGCCTCGTTCCCCTTGAACCGGAGACATGGATCTATGGTTTTACGCGACGCGGATTTGCTGGTGGAAGGTTTTGTTTCTCATGAGTATATTCCAGGACTATCTGAGCTCCATGCTGGACTGCCCGCCGACCTGCAGTTGCTCCCAAACAGAGATCTATTGCAATAAGTCCGACAACGGAAGGTTTTTCCCTTTACTGGCTGTGCAAGACACTGCCAACAATGGGACCACTGTTGACATAGCGGAGTTATTCAAAAACATCAGCTCCATGTAAGTAGCTTTGATCATTAATTCATCGCCTCCCAGTGAGATGTCTGTGATTTAGCTGTTGCTTTGTTTTGTACTTGTTGGATTTGGCTGGATTTTTTCCCTTCATATATGACTTTCTTGCGTTGGTCATCGCAAAATACAGTATCAGCGTCGTGCGTATCGTGAAGAACCCTCCCCAAAAACTAAGTGGCTTTGCTTTTCTCCCCCGTATCTGCCCCCATAAAGTTGTTTCTCCGCATCAGCACCACAGGCCTCCACACACGCTCCACAAATGACACGGGGATGTTGCAGCTCGCTACATCCCATTCATCCTCCTATTCTTTCCTACCGAATTCTGTCCTGACGCACCGCTCCATCGCTCGAAATGAAACGGAAATAAATGCTGCAGTCGGGTCAAGCACTTCCAATTCGTGATTTTTCCTTAACACAAACTTTATCACGTTGCGCACGGCCGAGGGGTGTTTGCGTTATAGGGGGAAATTAAAGGACGTGACTTGATCGACGCTGCTTTCTTTTTAGGCGCTGCTTAAAACGTAGGGTCTATCTATCTGTGCTGATGACGGCACACAGCAATAGGCCCTCCTCACCCACGCACCCACACACCCTCTCAAGTACGTTTTCATCCCACCGCTTTCACCCCCCACCGAAGCTCTCCCTCTCCCCTCTCCCCGTGCGTGCATCGATCCTTCCACTGCCAACATCAAAGCTTTCTTTCTTGAAAAGTCGGGGGAAAAACGCAAGCATTGAGAAAAATAAAACCCGTAGTGTCGACTCTGATTTGCATTTAAAGTAAACAGCCCTACCATTATGATAAGCTCAATATGGAATTCTCTTCACATAACCATCCAGGCCGCAAAGCACTTTTTTGGTCTTTCCCGTGCGTTTTAGTTTTGCATCCCTGGCTTCTTCATGTGGCGTGCCACGGTTCAGCGCGTTCTGGTGCCACTAGAGGGTAGCCTGGTTCCCTATATCTTTCTTGTATGCTACTTTTTTCCCTTTACATTAGCACTACTTTTAGACGAATGGGCATTACTGTAACAGCGAAACAGCATTACGCACCAGTGAAGCATTAGAGACCCAGTAAGTGATTAGTGGAGCAATGAACTACTGGTTTAAGATCGCCTTTAAGTTTTCCTCTCTGAACTTTCAAATAGAGAGTTTTTAATCTTTCTGTATTGATTGTCTTTTTGCCTTTGATAAACCCTAATGGCTGGACTCTGGGCTAATTATGTATTATACAGGCCTCATGCCAAAACTCTGCTCGTTTTCCACGCATGGACAGCTACCTACACACAGCAGCAATAGCTCAGTGTCAGCCTTTATCCTATCAACGTAAACATCTCTATTGCATCGCCATTACACATGCACTTTACATAATCATGTGTTCTGTTGGCCTGTATAGCAATTATGTTGTTATTATGTATATTGACTATCACTGACATTATGGCATAATCATACTGCAGTGGCGTATAAATGATATTCAGATGCTAATGCGCTAAACTGTGTGGTCTGGAAAAGCGTGTTTTTAAAAATAGTATCCGCACAACAGATCCTGATTGAGGCCATCTCCAGCACAAATTGTTCTTGGCCCCCTTCTGTGTAAGCCGCCCCAAGATGCATGCATTTCCTTAACAAGAACTCTATTTTTCCTCATTGCAAAGAAAACACTGAGAAATAGGACCAATTTGTGGTGGATGAGGCTACCACTCCACGCAGGGAATTGGCCATCTTAAAGAGCCCAGGTCAGACAATAGTTTTTGTTTCCACAATAGAGATTTAGCTATTGCCGTTTGAAGAGGATAAAAGAAGGCCTTGTTGTGATAGAAGGTGGCTAGAGTATTACTGAAGACTATAGCAGGGCTTTGTTGCTATAACTCAAAGGAGAATCAAATTAAATCATCCAAATTGCAAAGTGAATGTGGAGTGAGTGAATAATGCACTTGTTCTTGGCCATCTAACATAAGTTTCTAGTCCTGCATGAAATGAATTGGCCGAGTATTTGAAATAGTGGAAGATGGTAGAACATTGGACGAAGAGGAATTACACTGAACAGTAACAGCAGCAGTAGCATTTGTTGTCATGGTCGTTATGGTGAAGCTGAACTGGAGGGCAGAATCTGCAATTGACGGCAGATTGGTTGTCCTGGTATATAGGTTCAAGGTTTCTTTATTAGTACCTCAGGCGTTGTTTGCAGAAGCAATCAGAAGGGATGCACGAATGCTCAACATCATCTTTGCAAAATAAAGTAAAAAATAAACTGAATTATTTTTTCTCAGTAGCTTCAGAAAATGTTGGCATAGTTCAACCACAAAAGCGTGAATTTTGATAAGTTTGTAGGTAAAAGTCAACATTTGTGCAGCATAAATTGGAATATTGCATTGAAAAACAGCAAATCTGCCCTCTAATCGAAATTTCAACATTTCAACTCAAATTAAAACGCAAATGCAACCTCCTTAAGGACAAATTGGTTAGTTAAAGCGTCGTCGCAGGTGTAGCTTTGTTTGCACAATCCAGTCAGGGCTTCCACCTCGCCTTGTGACGTCTGGCCCCATTTTGAGTTGCGCCTCTTTTTGCACCTTCAAGAGTGTGTTTTAAGCATATCCAGGTGCATCTCCGTCAAGGCATTTATTACTCAGCTTCCTATTGGTAAACATTTCTAAGAAGGCTTTAAGGAAACCGCTTTTTCTTCCCCACTCGCCACCTTTGCTTTGAAAGGCTTTCTTCTTTTCAAATGGAATTCACTGGCTAAAAAAAAACAACCCAAAAACAAAACCCACTGAAAATTCACGTTTCATCATAATCCTCAGATATATCCACATTTGCATATTCACTCAAGATGTCACCATATTTAGAGGCTAATAGTATTTAAATGCTGTCCTGGGGTGCTACATTTTCCATTGCTCAAGTCAAAATAACTTGTCCTTTATTGCCTTTGAAATACAAATTCTTCCAAAACTATTGTGCCTGCAGCTACTTTAGCGTCAACTTTCTTCGCAGTCAAAGAGATTTATACCCACTTGTAAAATTGCCATCTGTTTATGTGCAAACAAAGCAATGGTTGGCAATCTAAAATGGCTGCCTGTTTAAATCTGCAGCCAAATAAAGCTTGAGGTTCATCATTTAACGTCTTGATCACCCAATCTATAAACACTCTTATTGAGACAAGACATATATTTTCTAAATGCATAGTGTTGTTTCCCAGTGCACTTATCAGACAGAAGGTGCCACTTGACTTAAATATAGGTTACGAGACCGTAGTCATCAAAGAACACCATCTCAAGAGGTTGCAATAAATTTGTATGTCATATGTACATGATTTCATTGACGTTGAATGAATATTAAAGCGCAAGTGCGATCTGATGGGCTCTTTAGACAGCGAGGAAAATAAATAGAATATCTGAGGAGGAGGATGCTTCTGCTGCTGCGGTGAATATGGAGTGAAGAATGGTTGTGGTACATTCTCAAAATGGAAAAACCAAGGAGAGGACAGAGGGCTTTTTGGTGAATAACTTAATAAACAAATGTACCAGGCTGATTGACTGCCAGAGATATCTAAAAAGAGGTAGGAATGAGGCCAGAAATCTTTCTACAGTGCATACGCCACTATCTTTACTACCAGCTATATGAAACTTTCTTCTACAATGTATTTGATGTCAAAGCTACTTGGTTATAACAGTGAATATTCAGGTCACAGTATGATTGGAAGAACAAACAAAAAAGTTAGATTTTTAAAAGCTAAAATAAGTAATACTTAAGTTGTTTATGTCACATTATCTTTCATTACTTTACCATTCAGATTTAGTCATAAATAACAATAGCAAAAAATGGTATTGTCTTGGAGTAGATAGTATGGCAGGAGTTCGAGAGCCACCAGTAGCTCTCCAACCCCTTCCAAGTAGCTCGCCAAGGAATTTCTGAATTGTACGTATTGTTTTGAATAAGTAAAATTTGATAAATTAAATGATTTTTACTATTGTACATGTATCATTTTGATGCCCAACTTTGTGTACTAATACAATGATAATGATTTATGTTTTATAGGTATCTAACTTAGGGTGATAAGATTTTCAAAATAAAAACCTGGGACACCTTTGGTTTGTGGTGGTTGGTAATAATAAAATTGTGAATCAAGTGCGTAATTAAGGAAAACTTTTCTGAACTTGGCCCATTCTTGACTAACATCAGTCAGTATAGTTAAATTTTCTTTGTGTTTTGGTAATTTTTCAACAGCTTTTCTGTATTTCACTTAAATAAATGACAATTAATGCCTCTCTTTACTGTTCAGATTGGGATCAGGGATCAGATTGGTCAAAAATAGAGACACCAGTGACATTTCTTGTATAAAACTGGGACAAATCACTAGTTTTGGATAAATCTGCTGGGACAGGGGACACAGGGCTCAAAACTGGGGCCGTTCTAGGTAAATAGGGATGTCTGGTCACCCTAATCTAACTGGACCTCATCTAAGGCTTGCTGAGACTCTTTTATATACTAAATTTCTTGTGACCGCTAAAACTAGTAGCTCTCTGGCATTTTTGTTTTGTAAAAATAGCTCACTGCAGGAAAAAGGTTGGAGACCCCTGCAGTATGGATTAAGGATTTCCCAGGGATGTTAAACCTGGAGGTATAGACTAAGCCAAGTGAGGCTGCCAATTTGTGCCATTGGTCCTTCCTTCCAACCACCACCAACACATCACTTTCATACTAGGCAAGTGGGTGAAGTGTCTTGTCCAAGGACACAATGGTAGTTTTGCACTTGAGCCACTGCTGACCCACTGAGGCACCTTCCATGTCCTAACCAAGCCCAACCCTGCTTAGCTTCTGAGATCAGATCATATTGGGCTTTGACACGCCGGTGTAAAAAAAAATATATCGAAGAATACAAGCTGAAGAAATGACTCCCTTGAATGTTCCACAGTGTACCTGTGTTAGTGTTGATTCCAATTTCAAACCGCTCATGTCATGTTCTTTGAGATGCACAAAAAAGACTTGTAACCATC